CCAAGTCCCACTGCCAATTTACTCGGTCTGGTATTCGATGGCCTTTGTTTGTGCGACATCATCTGAAACCTATGATCTGTATTGATCGCAGGGTGCAGGTTTCTTACGAAAAAAGAAACCCCATCAGTCAGACCATTCAGTGTTCCTATTGGGCACCAAATCCGTGTATTCTGTAGGAAAAGAGGCTCGTCGGTTCTAGTCCCTAGCCGGGCTAGGGAATCAAACGCGTTTCGAATTGGGAAAAAAAAAAAAAAAAAAAAAAAACTGAGTGCGTGAAGAGGGGCCAAGGATTTCCTCGACTTGGGGCGGGTGAGAGCGAGCCTGTCCCTAGAAAATGCGTGTTTGGAAGTGCAGGCTGTGAACGTGGCGGACGTGGTTAATGATTATACAGTTGCCGTGACTGTCAGGGCCAGATCCCACTGGCAAACAGGATTGGAATAAGCCTCTGAATCTGGACGTGTTTGTGGAGAGGTGCAAACAGTTGTGATTGAACTGCTTTTGTGCATCTCTGTGTGGAACACACCCAGATTTCACAGCCCCGATATTTTATTCCACGTATTTAGTGCCGCTCAACGTCACACTGGCTAGGAAACCGAACCGATTGGCTGGCAGTGGGACTTGGCCCCAGACACGACTAGCAGTCCCCTATACAAACTGGATGTGGACAAATTGAATATGAGAAAAACAAAATGTGGGAGATTCCTGCCAGCATTGATTACCATGGGATCCAGGGGATTGACTGAGCAGGCTATTAGAGAGAGGGGGGAACCTCTTTTTTTTTTTTTTTTTTTTTTTTCATGAAAACTGCCCGAGCGAGTGCTAGGGGTGCTGTTACGAGCAGACACCACTAGCACTGTCGGGGAGGCCCCATCTATTGGTGGGGAGATTTTGTTTCTCAAGAAATACGCGCAGCAGAAGACCCTGAATTTGAAACTTTTTATACTAAGAATATCTTGCTTAACGAAGGAATCCGTGCTTGGGTGGCAGCTCAAGATCAGCCTCATGAAAATCTTGTATTCCCTGAGGAGGTACTTCCACGTGGAAACGCTCTTTAATGGAACTTTGGCATGAGTTGGCGTGACCGCCCTGAAAGCCGTGTTAGATCCCTGCTGCTACACACTACCGTCTTCACCCGAATAGAACGCCCTGTCATTATCGCTGCATCTGGACGGAAAATGGCCCCAAATACGGCTTTGATGACCGGGCGTTCTACTCGGGTGAAGACCGTAGTTCCTCCCTCCCCCTTCTGGTGAATACTTAGACTCACGTCCCTTATGCAGAATGAAGACAAACAGATACCAGGACAATGGGTTGAGAAAGGTTGAGAAAGAACCTGCCAGCATTAATTACTCTGGTGACCAGAGGATTGGCTGTGCAGGTTTTTAAACTGAGAATTTCTATGGGAATTTACAAAACCGTGAGCCGCCCCTTCCCCCGTTTGTTCTTGAAGGACCCGGCTGCCCGCATTGACTGTCCCAGTGGCTGGGAGGATAACTGTGCCACCAATCTTCCTAATAGACTGTCCTATACTTCCAGCGCTGTAGGCAATATTGGCTGCAAGGGTGGTGTTCAGTCTCCAGAGGGGAAACGGAGACTGGACTCTGGAGACTGAACTACTCTGGGTCAGGGGTGTGTGAATGCTGTGGGAAGGGGATAGGCGGGTATTCAATCTCAAATTTCTGCACCTCTTCACGAACAGGTCTAGATTCAGGCGTTCAGTCCAATCCTTGTTGCTAGTGGGACCTCGCCCCTGGTGCTGTACCCCTTGAATTATAATTGTAATTCTTTTTTTTTTTTTTTTTTTTTTTTTTGAGAAAAGGGCCCAGTGCCCGAGGCTCCAATTATGAATTATAATTGTAATTCTACTGGAGGCTGGTGCTGTACCTTTGAAAAAAGACTAGCTAAGAGCACGCGCTCCCGTGCGGGCTACAACAAATGCAGTGCACTGGGTGACCTCACACTGCATTTTGGATGGCTCGCCTCCAAGATGTTCCTCCGCAGAAACAGCGAAGGCCTACCGGGGGCACAAAACACAACAGCCGCTTGAGAAATGAAAAATAAAGAAAGGAAAATTCAAAAAAAAAAACAAAGAACAGGGGGGACACAAAACGACAGGCGCGAGAAATGAAAAAAGGAGAAGGGGGACACAAAACGACGGCCAGCCGGAGAAAAAAAAAAGAAGAAAAAGCCCCCCGCATATCGGATGGCTCGCCTCCAAGATGTTCGTCTGCATCAACACCAGTCATGTGCCCCGGCCCCAGGGCGCGTGCTCTCTTTTATGGCGCGCTGTGAACATTTCGGTACGTGGCCGTCCTTGGTCGCCTTCATCCTCCGCCCCTCACCAAAACTTCGACCCGAATCCAGCGCGCTGCGCATCATGGACCTCCCCCCCCGACCAATCCCGCTTAAGGGATAGGAAAAAAAGGAAAAGAAAG